AAAAAATGTTAAAACAATACATCATGATTACAACAACCGCTACATTCCGTTTCACCGGCTGAGATTAGTGTAATTTTTCGCGAGACTCTATTCAACCAATAAGCCATCGCATTGTCTCGAGCGTAGACGTAACAGTTTGTCATTGTTCAGTGTAAACGAATCAATAATATTCGTGGCGCCAAGATTTAGGGATTTTTCGTTACCAGTACCAGTCCTGCAATGTTGGTCGTCTAAGTTCGGCAGCCAAGTGGCTTATAAACATTTACAAAAGGTTCTGTATTTCTATTTAGATAATTCTGTCCTATTCATAAATTCAAATTTGAAATTGATTGCTTCCGAATCGAAAGAAACGGAAAAAACTAAATAAAATTTTCCTATATGTGTATTTCCAAGAAATTATAGATTTCATATGTTCTATTTCTCTGACACCCGGTATAAAATATATTATTATCATAGATTCCCACGTCGATGTGAAATTGTCGATTTTGAAGTAAAGAAATGAAGGTAACTACCATTACATCAGTTACCGAGCAAATATGTAGTTTTTCTGTATCGTTAAAATAACTTTGAGCAATGAATCTTTCTGGAGTATATTTTCGTCACGGAGTAAATCCATTTTTTTTCACCTTAAAGGTAAAAAAGTTACTGTTCAGTGCTATTATAAATTGCGGCATAGACTTATAACGATAATTTTAGTTATATGTCATTTTAGACAATCAACTACAACGAGTTGAAATAAGTTTTGAAATTTATTCTTAAAGGAAGGTAGGTCTTAAAAAAGAAGTCACTTACAAAAAGTTTACCTTGTAAGGCTTGCCCAAAAGTGTTAGACTAATAGTTCCTTTAATAATACCTCGGTATTAGATTTTTTTCACCTCCACTACGTGATACGCATCGGAGAAAAGTGTATGGTAGTTCATCGGTAGCAATATCAGTAAAGTCATTCTGACATCAACTGTAATTACCTCAATTTTTTTCTTAATAATTTGTTTTTTAAACACAGTTCAGTTAAATGTTACCAATTTATTTTTAAATCGAAAAAACGTAAACTTAACAGTAATAACAAAAAAATGAGTGGCTACAAAAAAGAACTAAATCAATAACAAAAGCCTAAAATAAATATTGAACATACATAATCTAAAATTTCAGAACTTTTTCTGAAGAAGAGATTTGTTGAAAAGTCAAGAAACCTAAACCGATTACATGAAAACCAGCCTTGAAATTGTTTATCCAAACATTCTATCTCAATAACAGACATAACAATTGAAAATAAATTCACTTTATGTAGAAGCACATGTCGAACACATAAACACATTTACAAACATATGTCGAAAACTCATCGTTTACTAGATACAGTGTGTTCAAATTGGATAAAAAATAATTAATATTTAAAAAAATTTCTAGAACTAATAAATTGCCTTTTTCATTTTATATGGTGGATACCGCAAACCAGTGGCGTGCAGCGAACACCACTTTTGAAGTCAAATATTGTCATTTTTTAAATACAATTCTCATAGTCAAGATATAAAAATTAATATTAATATTAAATTAATTAATAACTAGTCCAACTCTGTCTTTGCGATAGTCTCTAGCTCATTCAGATTGCTTTCCAGAGACATGTCCCAGTACCGAAGTTGGGATTCTATTTAAAGTTGCAAAGTATATTTTAAGCTACTAGAAAATTACGAAAGTGCCTTCCCGAAATTAAACACTTGCTGTATTTTAGTTCACTTCATTTTATAAGCAGAATATTACGCTAAAGCAGTAAAATATTATATATTTAAAATATAAAAGACATCAGTCTAAAATTACACTCAACGTTACTTCTCCAAATTAGCAAAAAATATTAAGGTAGGCGTTTCAAAATGTAATTTTTCTAAAAGCTTTTGGCAGCTATTAAGTAAAAACATGGCTGTTAACAAATCTGGAGAAGTACACGACTGAATAACGCATCTTTCTTGTTAAAAGTTATTTTAAATTTGGGGGAAGAAAATAACGCACAAAATATAGAAAAACAAATTGTCCAAGAAACAGCACCATTCGAATTATTGTGAATACATTTGGAGAAACTGATTCAATTCAAGGTCAAAGAAGTAAAATTTACAGTCGTAGTGGTCGTTCACAAGAAAATATTGAAGCTGTCAATGATAGTGTCACTACAGAACCAAACAAATCAATTCGCCAACGTCCACAGCAATTAGAAATTAAATAAACCACTTTATTGAATATTTGCACTTCATAGTCTAGGCGGTATCTGTTTTGACTTGGGTGAATCGTATATCCACGGAGATTTTTGGCTTTTTGGCTTTCAAATATCACTAGAAATGAAAATTTTTCTAGGCGCATAAAAAAAACGTGGGCTAACTTTTGGCGGCAAATATGTTAAAAAAATTCGAAAAATGTCATATTTTTCTTCCTATTTAATTGTGTATCTTTTCAAGAGTTGATTTTAGGCGAAAATGGTAGAGGAAAAAATTTTTGAAGTTAATTTTTTTACAAAACATGACTAGTTACAAAGCGAATGAATCATGATTATTATAGCAAAAATCGAAAAAATCGCAAAAATGGGGTTAAAAAACAATACTTTTTAGGGAATTTTTTTGGGGTATTTAAATTAGGTATAGGACCTTTATACTTGGCTCAAGAAAGCTTCATGTTATGTAGAATCATCACACCAAATTTCATCAAAATAGGATCTATAGATTTTGCATAATAATTTTGCAATCCAGATTTTGAAAAAAATTTGCAAATTTTCAAAATTTTTCACAGCAAAAACCAAGTCCCTTAGATACTTGAAAATTTAATCACATATAGAAGGGCTCTCAAACTTTCAAACTCTTTTTGAAAAATTCGAATCCGTCAATTAGGAGAGCTCTGGCGCTTGTTTAAACATTGGTCGAATTTTTGTACTTTTAAACAATTAGAATAACTTCGTGAATATTCGATCAAATCAAATTTTTTTAAAGTAGGTTTTAAAAGTTCTTGGAAAGACGCTTCTTTAAAAAAAAAAGGAGATCGATTGATCAATTAGTTACGTAGTTATAGCCGATTCAATTTCGAGCAGGCCCTCTGCTTCCCCCACCACCACCACCGTACGATTTTATTGAATTTCTCGCTTGCATAAATAACTTTAAACACGTTTTAAAGTAGGTTGCAAATGAAGAAAAGTATTGTAATCTTAGACCTGGTAAGTACTCGGAATACCAGGTCTTCGAAAAATTAGCCCGGATGTCCCAGTACATTTAGTGTAAATGACGGTTAACTTTGATCGGCTATAACTACGTAACTAATTGATCAATCGATCTGTTTTTTTTTTAAAGAAGCGTCTTTCCAAAAACTTTTAAAACCTGCTTTAAAAAATTTGATTTGATTTAATATTCACAAAGTTATTCTAATTGTTTATACGAGTAAGTACAAAAATTCGACCAATGTTTAAACAAGCGCCAGAGTTCTCCTAATTGACGGATTCGAATTTTTCAGAAAAAGTTTGAAAGCTGGAGAGCCCTTCTATATGTGATTAAATTTTCAAGTATCTAAGGGCCTTGGTTTTTGCTGTGCAAAATTTTGAAAATTTGCATATTTTTTTTTCAAAATCTGGATTGCAAAATTATTATGCAAAATCTATAGAAACGATTTTGATGAAATTTGATGTGATAATTCTACATAACATGAAGTTTTCTTGAGCCAAGTATAAAGGTCCTATACCTAATTTAAATACCCCAAAAAAATTAACTAAAAAGTATTGTTTTTAACCCCATTTTTGCGATTTTTTCGATTTTTACCATAATAATCATGATTCATTCGATGTCTAACTAGTCATGTTTTGTAAAAAATTTAATTACAAACATTTTTTTCCTCTTCCATTTTCGCCTAAATTCAACTCTTGAAAAGATACATAATTAAATAGGAAAAAAAATGACATTTTTCGAATTTTGAACATATTGTGGCGCCAAAAGTTAAGCCCACGTTTTTTTTATGCGCATAGAAAAATTTTCATTTCTAGTGATATTTGAAATCCAAAAAGCCAAAAATCTCCATGGATATACGATTCACCCAAATATGGCTTTTTGAAACAGATACCGTCTGGACTATTACAAAATACAGTTAGCACAAGAATTATTGCCATGGATTACGTCGCACATTTGTTAATAGGGCTCTTGCAGTGAAAGAAGAACAAAATTATTTTTAGTGATGAAGTTCATTTTGAAATTGGTGGATATGTAAACAAACAAAATTGTCATATCTGGGGTGAAAAATACCCACGAGTAATATTGGAACAACCAATGCATCTACAAAAAGTAACTGTTTGGTATGGTATTTGGTCTGGTGATCTACTTCTTCGGAAAGGAAGCTGGAAACGTTGTTACTGTGAATGGTGCTCGATATCAAACGATGATTAATAACTTTTTATGGGATGAATTGGAGCGTATTATGCAGAATATTTAGTTTCAACGGGATGGTGCAACATGTCATACAACAAAGGAAACAATCGATGTTTTGAAACAGAAATTTGGTAATTGAATAATTTCTCGAAGACATAATTAATCATGTGATCTACCACCATTAGGCTTCTTTTTATGGGTTTTTTTGACGAGCTTATGCTGACAATCCTCAAACCATTCAACTTTTGAAGGAAAATGTAATTGAGCAAATCACTCAAATTGACCACGTGATGGAAAATTTTACTAAAAAATTGGAGGCTTGTAGAGCTGCTAGAGATGGTCACTTGTCTGACATTCTTTTCCATTATTAACCTCAACATTTCTAATATGCAATGAAGATATCTAGTTATTTCGAATGAATTACGTGTTTTATTAAAAAAAAGTTAAAAAATTAACTCAAATTTGAACACCATATAGAATAAAAAATAGCTAGTTTAAATTTAGTAAATAAATATTTAAAAAATACTTTTCCAGGTGTACTAGATTTAATTATATATTAATCTGTAGATTATGGAAACAAATATGTACATATTAAAATAGATTTTCTGAATATATTACCTTAAGAAACGACCAATTTAGTACATTCACAGGCACTGAACTGAATAGCTTCTAGTGTTGCGTATTGGGTACTTAAAATATATTCCAAGTGGCTCGATAAATCACTTGATATCCCCATTTCGAGAGATAATTTGTTTACTTTGCTTCGTATTTACGTACAGTTTTTTTTTTTGTTTTGTCATAGCATAAAAACACTCCAATGTGTTTTATCTGGAGATGTGAAGTAGTTGCTGCTTCAACTTAAACAGGTGGATTATCTTGAAAATTGTTAAATTACTTATTACGATTTTACATTAAAAAAAATTATATGTATTTGTAGTACCTTTATATTGTACAAATAATTTTGTCAGAATATATAAAATAAACCTAAGCTACGAAATATTTTCGATCATAACTTCTCTCACAATCAAATGAGAATTTGGAAATCCTAAATACGATTTATTTATCTACATTTTAAGTTTTCAAAAAAAAAAATTGTTAGTGAAATCGCTACATGAGAAAGCAAAAAGATTTTTTGACCTGCCTTGTTGTTCTCGGGCTAGGTTCTGAAGGGGCGTGACCGCTACAAGAGCTAGGACCTAGGTTTATAAAAAAAGGAATTTGTTTAATTTTGCTTCACGAAAGTGTATTTGCTTGCCATGAAATTTGTGGGTTTTAGGACCTTAGAAAACAGTGATTTGACAGCTGAAAATTAAATATTGTGTTATAGTGTCCAGCATTGCGGGTTTGTTGTATTGATTTTCAACTGTAACATAGTTTCAGATCGTTTAAAATGAATTAAAATATCTGAAAAATAGTACAATTTTCTAGCCTTGTATCTTAAAAACAAATTGCTTGCTGACCTACACTATTCGAAAAAATACCTTTTCAATATTGTTTGTGAAAAAATTGTAGACAATTTGAATTGCGCAAAACCATGAAAATATTAAAAAAGATTTATTAATTGTAAGTTTATTTATATTTTGTCTGTGATAATATTTATAGAGATGTGCACTGAGTAGCTCCTTTGTGAATAAAAAACAAAGTTGTAAACCCACATGGAAAATATTAATAAGATAATATAAAAACTGTTATTTCGTAAAATTGAAAAAATTATAAATCTACCAGTAAAATTGAGAGAAATATAAATATACCAGTAAGCAGAATTTAGGTTAATGGGAGGAGGGATGGTTAAAAGCACTTTAGTTTTAAAAGTAGTCCCTTAATAATTATATATGTAATTTTTATGGTAGTAGATAACTTACTGTAAATTGTTTGGTCTTAAATTTAATTCCAGATTAATTAAAATTAATTTTAAATCACTACATTATACAAAAAGATTAATTGAATGAAGTTTGCCATAACCGTCACTTGTGAGATAACAGACACTTTTGAGTAGTCTCAAAATTCGTGATGTTACTGATTGTCTAAAACTTCAAAACGATCTTGATGCTTTTGTAATTTTTTGTAAACACAATAATTTGTTTATTAATATCGACAAATGCTATATAATCACTTTTCCTCGAAATAAACGTCGTTTCCTATATCAATATAACTTAATTGTAAATTGTAAAAATAAAATTAGAGACCTTGGAGTTATTTTTGATAGTAAAACGTTATTTGATGACCATATTAACAAACTAATATCTCTGGGTTTCATTATGAGACAGTCAAAACAGTTCACTAATTCTAAAGCCATATTACTTTTATATTACACGTTTATATTTATGATGCAACATAAATTTTTAAATTTTTTTTCTTTCAAGTGTAGCCAAACTTTGGACAACGACGATTTTCATAGATTGTGTGTTAAATATAAAATAAGAACTTTAGCTAACAGGAGAGTATTAGCGGATGTTATTAACGTGTATACAATTAATTAATTAATAATTAGTAAAATTTATTTTACTTCAGTTATATGGAATCCTCAATATAATATGATTCAACATAATTTTTTATTTTTTTTTTCTTTCAAGTGTAGCCAAACTTTGGACAACGACGATTTTCATAGATTGTGTGTTAAATATAAAATAAGAACTTTAGCTAACAGGAGAGTATTAGCGGATGTTATTAACGTGTATACAATTAATTAATTAATAATTAGTAAAATTTATTTTACTTCAGTTATATGGAATCCTCAATATAATATGATTCAACATAATTTTTTATTTTTTTTTTCTTTCAAGTGTAGGAGAACTTTGAATGATGACAATTTTCATAGATTGTCTGTTGAATATAATATTATCTTTAGCTAACAGGAAAGTACTAGCAGATGTTATTAACCTGTATAAAATTATTAATGGTACAATCGATTGTGTAGGCCGTTAAGGTCCTACGACTTATTTTTCATTCCTTTTAAGCATACCAATGCCTCCGCATACTGTCCGGTGTGCAGAATGATGCGCTCTTATAACGATATTTGTAATAGTTTAGATTTATTCTCTACATCTTGCTATATACAGGGTGTTAAAAAAAGAGTATAAAATATTTAAGGAGGTAATAGTATGAACCAAAATAAGCAGAAAAGTCTCAATAAACATGGGTCCGCAAAGTAACTGTTGCGGAGATATGGAATGTTTTATATTTTTTAGCCCCTTTTTTTATTTTGCAAAAACGTTGTGTATTTTCGTATAATGGTTGATATTTAGTGAAACAAACAGTACGTATTTGACAGTTGTTCTCAGTGCACAAGTTTTCTTTCGCTATGGCTGGTTACTCTAACGCAGAATTAACAGACATGCATTTCATGTATGGTCGTGCTAATGGGAACGCCACCGAAGCGCGACGTCTTTATGTTGACGCTTATCCAAATCGCCAGATTCCTTCACAACGCATGTTTGGAAGAATTCACCAAAGATTGCGTGATACCGGTTCCTTGAGCAAACAGTGCCATTTATCCGGAAGACCAAGGTCGGTATCCACTCCTAGAGCAGAAGAAGAAATTCTAGCACTGGTAGAGCAGAATCCAGGTACGAGTGTGCGGAGAATATCAGCCGAGGTAGGAATTAGTGGTCCTCTTGTTTGGAGAATCCTTCACGAGCAACTGCTTTATCCATACCATGTGCAACGAGTACAGGCCTTAAATCCAATAAATGATCATCAAGCACGTTTGGTTTTTTGCCGCTGGTTTCTACGTCATGATGCTGAAGACCCTCGTTTTCTTGCAAACATTCTTTTTACTGATGAGGCCGGGTTCACAAGAAATGGAGTGTTTAATTTTCACAATACGCATATTTGGGCCGACGAAAATCCTCATGCTCTAATAGAATCTGGACATCAGGCACGTTTTTCATTAAACATTTGGATGGGTATTGTAGGTGACAGGTTTCTAGGTCCTGTTGTTTTACCAAACCGATTAACAGGCGCTGCTTACCTCAACTTTCTGCAGAACACACTGTATGAGTTTTTGGAAGACATTCCTTTGAATCAGAGGCAACAAATGTGGTTCCAGCATGATGGTGCTCCAGCTCATTTTTCCATGGCCGTTAGAGAGCATTTACACCAAACTTTTCCACATAGATGGGTAGGAAGGGCCGGACCTGTTTTATGGCCTCCAAGATCGCCTGATCTGAACCCTCTAGATTTCTTTGTTTGGGGATATTTGAAGACATTAGTGTATGGTACTCCTGTAAATAGCCTGGAAGAGCTGCAGCTACGGATTAATCAAAAGTGTCAAGAAATCCAAACCAAGGAGGGTGTTTTCGAAAGAGTTCGAATATCGTTGAGACGAAGATGTCGTGCCTGCTTGGAAATGGACGGAGGGCACTTTGAACATCTTCTGTAACTTTGTTTTTTGTTTGTTAAAAGCTTCCTTTGTCGGTTTATTCCTAATAAAATAAAATGTTTTAAAAACGAATAGTGGTCCATATCTCCGCAACCGTTACTTTGCGGAGCCATGTTTATTAAGACTTTTCTGCTTATTTTGGTTCATACTATTACCTCCTGAAATATTTTACACTCTTTTTTTTAACACTCTGTAGATTTATTAAAAATTGTATGTTTAGATATATTTCAAACTTCTCAGAGTGTTGCACTTCAACGTATCAAAAATTGGGACGCGTTAACCTAGCCTAAATTTAAGAATATTTTCCAAATGAATAATTGCCTTTGAAGACCACATTTTTGTAATCACAAGGAGTTAAAATTCTCTTCAAAATTATATAAATTCTGGAGTCGGTATACACAACATTTTTTAACGATTTATAGTTTTTTTTCTTCGAATTGTTTTACTGCCATTTTTCTTTTTTATACTACACATTGTGTTCCCACCAATTCAGTAATTGGATATAATATGTTGAATGGTGTATCAAATAAATAAATAAATAAATACATAAATAGTAAATCCACGTGAAAATTACCAGAACGTAACAAATAGACTATACCCCCAAAATTACCGTTATCTCTAGAAAGGCATAGGCATATGTCTTGTAATCTTTACATCAAAGAACACTGACACATTGTATGAGTTACATCAAGAACCTACCTACCTATTTTTTAGCTTACATATCCTCATGATAGGTATCTCACTGTAACGAAAGACGTAACGCACCCACAAACATCAATGTTTCGGCGTAATAACAAAGCTAAATTCAAACTCAAAAATTGACCAAGAAAGGGCCACTGCACACTAGTCCGATGAGGAAAAAGTACCGACATAGATCGTTAAGAAAAAGAATCGGTACTGACGCTCCGGTACCAAGATTATTGTAAAAATAGTACTCCCTCGATGTCAATGATATCATTTCCTACATTCATGATCATAACGGGTATTATTATAGACCGGCCGATATTTCCTCCTTCTGTTTTCGCTTTCAATGCCACTGTCGGTCGATTTGTAATTGAAATCAGCTGATTCATGATAGGAACTGTGACGATCACGGTGGTGCATCTAGGAGAATAAATAATGGTGACAATTTAGTACTGAGTGTAACAGCGATGTTGTGACAAATATTAAGAGGTGGTTATTTTTATTAACATAAATAATAAAACGAGAGAAACCATTTCTTTTTTAAAAAAAGATACATAAAGCCTGTATCCTTCAAAGATTGAACTGAAACTCAATTTTAGAGCAGTTGTTCAAAAATTATTGAGGATATAGACTTCAAATTTGGTATAATATAAT